GTAGTCTCCTTCTTCTCCAGCATGCTGCTTTTCAGAAAAGGTGCTTTGTGATTGCTCCAATTCTGCGTCTGTGTATAAGACATACAGTGAACTAGGAAGCTGTACGGTTCTGCTGGCACCATGTTGGGGTTGTTGGCTTTGAGAGGGGAAGGAGGGTGGAGTAAAGACAGGGGATGGAGAGGGGTTGGCAGGAGGGAAACAAGGAAGGTTGGGGGGTGGGAATAGGGCTGAAATCACAAGTCCCATGAGAGGTACTCGGTCTACACAGGTCTCTCTCCTGGCCCTGTATAAATAATGGTATTTACAATGAAAAGAGCACTACACTATGACAAAAAAAATTATCAACACAACCAAAAAACTCCACTTCTTCAAATAGATGCATGATGACTAGGAAAGGCTTACTTGGTAACAGGTTTAAAGTCCCTCAAATATTAGAATCTGGAATTACCTCATTATCATCATAAGTGAGTCTCCAAATGGTTCTTCTTCTGAAGAAGTGCTCAGGCCCGGGAAGGAGATCACGCAAGTCCTCCTTAGATAGGCTGGGCAGCATGTCTCTGCTTATATTAGCAGCCGAAAACAGATTTAACCACACAGTTAATAATAAGGTAAAAAGCAACTAATAACATATTTATCTAAATACATCAAATGAAAGAGTAATGTACATTTCTGGCCGGCTTCGCAAGATTTTATTTAACATTAAAACATGTATTGCAATGACTTATAATTGAATTTTAAAAAATTGCTGTTACAATAGCCCGCACTATCATACAACAACGCATTGTGAAATGCTCTCTACAACAAAAAAGGGCGCCAAAGATGGCTATGCTAAATACTTTACTGTCAGTTGTGGAAGGCTCATTTGCTTCTTGACATTATTTCTGGCAATAATACAGTATAAATTAAAATGTTAACCACGATTTGTCATTTGTGCAGTTATTAACAGCTTACAGTAGATATTAGCTAAGTTAACACTAGATATGTAGCCAGCTAGCTAGCTTACTTTGCATGCTAACTTGTTGTCCAACCGATTCAAATAATGTAAAGCTTGCTGGAGAGGTGCAGCATAAAATACACAATTACATTACCTTTTAATGCTGCAGTTGCTATAGCCACCATGCCCGGATATGTGATATCTCTTCCATTTTCATGCGAGGCTTAGTTAAATGTGAAATCACTGAGGTTCAGTCTTCTGCCTGAAGGAAAGCTAGCCAGCAACCCTGAAGCTAGGTACCTGACCTAACACACGCCCTTAACGGACCCTTTTCACGGTTCCCATTGGAAGGTACCATTTCTTAAAAAAAAGAGGGGTGACAGAGATATTGTATATGTTGCAAATATTAGGAATATTAATAACTGAAGCAGTCATAGGTAACATTTAAAACATCTGTTTCTAGATGCACATCATTCCACAAGTTATTCCCAGGCATTTTTATGACGTGTATATATATATACGTCAACATGACTCACCAGTCTCCCCCATACAGCTAGAGAATGTGATAAACCCACTTCATTAGTTATTTTCCAGGGCTAACACTCTCTCCATGACATACGAGATAGAGAGCCGCAGTGACGCGTCCTTAAACCCGGAAGTAAACTCCTTCCGGTTCCTTCGTCTAAAACGCAATGCAATTTCTCCATAGGATTTTGGAAAATAGCTCG